TCTGTTATCTAATTAAACACTTATGCAAAATTTGCCTAATATCCGCGCCCATGTTGACGCGCACCTTCTGCAAGTATACCGACACGTCCGTTTTTATTTACATTAAAGAAAACACAAAGAAAATATGTATAAAACACGAAAAAACAGAATAACATGAAAAAAAGCTATAATTTTCAATAAGTTTAATTAAAGTTTAATTTTCACTATAATTTTAATTATTATTTTATAAAAACTGAAGGTATTTACCGTTTTGCGATCAAGCATTAGGCAAATTTTGCATAAGTGTTTAATTAGATAACAGAGAATACTAACTAATTAAAATTTCTAGCAAAAATTCCATTCTGATAAGTAACACACAAACAGACCAAAGTTGGGTACATCCTCTATCCCTGCGTCATCATTGGAATCGATTTAAGTTTATCTGTCCGCCTGTCTGATGTACACTGACGTCTGTTGTCCCCGTCTACCATAACAATTTGATATACAAGCAAGCTATTCTACATTCGAACCAAATTAGTCCATTTTCTGGGTCCCAGACATGAAAATTTCATTTTCAGTTAAACAAAAGAAGAGGTAAAGGTTAAAAAAATGTAAATTTTAGTTTTTTATCGTGAAGTGATGGAGTGATGGAGGGTATTTTATAGTCAGCCTTACCCAACTGTGCTCGCTATTTCAAACAAATAAAAATGCTATACTACACCACGACTCACATTAAGTACCCTACATCAGCCTGCAATTGTTCATGTAATGACTTTTGAAAAGAAGACGCCATGTGGGAAATAGTCTAGAAAGTGATCCGGTCCGACCCCTTTTTAATAGCGTCCGCCCTTGGTCCAAAAAATGTCCTTGTAGCGAATTTCATCAAAATATCTTAATAAAATGTGGCCTGTAGGTTGAACACACAAAAACAAAAGGAATAGACAGAGGGACAAGCTTAGATCTACTCAGAGAATGATTCTATAAAAAAAGTCTTCAAAGAACTACCTGTTTTTCTAGAAAACGGAATTCCTAAAAACGTTGAACACACATGAACATTTGATAATGTTTTCATGATTTGTTTTCAGTCAGAAGTTATTGCAAAAAATTTACATTTTCTAAACAGTTCAACCAAAGCGAAGACATTCTAAGCTCCAATACTTGGACGAAAGTTGCATATTTATGCGCACAACCAATCACTTATGATACTTGCTCACTACGAATGTGCTTTAGACACACAATGAAACACTTAATGGCTTTACAAAATGTAATCAAATATTAAATTTTGTTCGTAGGATCACTTTTCCTCCTTTACTTTCTTACAATTATAAATTTTATAACTAACTTCTTCCATCTCCACTCAACAACCCAAAAAAAAAAAAAAAGAACTACTTATTGATTACACCATGCATACCAACATTGGTGACATCCTTGCACATATATTATCCGTGGAATTAAATTACTTAGCATGCATCCACTTTTTACCGCAAGGAAATTGTATTTCCTTAAGAGGTTTTTAAACAGCGTCCAAAACTAGAGCATGTGACGATCGCAATCAGAAAGAAACCGGAAACCGGACTTCTTAAGTTGTGTCAAATGTCTGTCTGATCCAACCACACTTGTCTTCTTAGTCAGGGTCGTATTGAAAAGTATTCTCATGTCACTTACAAATACGCACTCGAATAGGCAAAAGCACCCTAAAGAGAGTCTGATAATAATGTTCAATGTAAGAATTTCAACAGAATCGCTGGAATGTTTTTAACTACAAGTTCCTGTGAATAATTTCTTTGCAAATAGTTCTCCTCTGGAAATTTGTAATGTATGGTTTCTAACTAGCAATTTAGGTTTGCTAAGAATACATCCCTGCATAACCGAAACTGTAGACTTCACGCAGGTAGCGAGATTGTTTTGACATAACTTTCTATAATCTCTGAGATATTAGAATAAAACCGTAAAATATAAAAAGGACATTTTTACGTAACAATGTTTATAGATTAGCAACGTAAAGTTCGTATTTATGCCTACATAAAGTTCACTGTCTATTCTCCTGTGATCAGTCGACTCTTTGCTATTCCTCTGGCAACTGCCCAGAGAAACGTTTTCATAACGTTTTGCTCAGGCCTTTCTTGACATCTAAAGCAGGATATAAATATCCTTATGCGTATCGCTTCATCGTATATATCTAACGACTTTGTTAAGGAAATTTTCACCCTAACCTTTTACCGACACAATAACATTTTAAACATCAGTAGAAGGACTCTACATATAAGATTTTCAAAAAAGGTGAATTTTTCAATTAACAGTTGTTCTCCGTTTGACTTGTCTGAAAAACCTCATCACCGTTGCCTTAACATACAATACGTGCAATTCAGGTAATATCAAAAACAAGCTGCTAAGAAATTTTAAGAAATCTATTGTCAACAACAAATTATTTCAATTTAGACACGTATGTTACTCTACTCTCGTAATCAATCAAAGATGCCAATTCTTTAACTGATTGCTTTTATTGATGTCCTTTGTTGATGATGATATTTTATTTTATATTATACATTATATTAGATACATATATATATATATATATATATTATATTATTATTATTATTATTATTATTATAAATTTAGCCAGAGATAAATTCTAAGACTAAAGTCTTACAGCACTAGCACCTAAGGCTTTTGGCTTTTATTAAAAAGGTCTACCGCACTTGAGATCCAATCATTTTATAATTTCAACCCTTTCTACTAAATTCTTTCCATTTCACTTTAAACCAAGTAATTATTATCCTTCCCCTACTTATGTATCGGTAGCATCAATTTGGAACTTTATCTATTAAGTGGAAACAAATTATAATTATACAATAATTTCATTTACATGCAGTTCCACAATCATCTCCCTCGCAAATATCACACAACGAAGATTCAATTCGATAATATTCGGTTCCACGGTATGCACTATTGTAATAATCATACAGAGTGACGGGAACTGGTTTCTGCTTAGCAACAGCAAAAGCTTTGTCTGCCACAATAGTAACACATACTTGTTCATCTTCCACTAAGCCATCAAGGTAAACGATCACTTTTGTATCAGAGCTTTCGGTATCGATGCGTTGAACACGGTCGGCAGCAAGTATATCGTTCAACTTCTCACTGTCGGCGACATAACCAGACGGTAGAGCAACTTCCATGACAGCCATATTCGATTCGTTGATTTCATCGTCAACAGCCGGTTGGTAATTTGCGCAAATATTAATCTGCAGCTGTTGCGATGGCAAAATTTTCGGCTTAATGTCTAGTTTGAATCCAGGTCTATCGTCTTTGGTTGCCAAGTTGTATTGATACGAAAGTTGAATTAACGAAGAACCAGCACCTTCAGCTTCCAAACTTAATGAACGCGTGGATTTCGGTAACTGCGAGGGAAGAGTGATATAAAAGTAAAGTTTACAAGTAGTTCGTCTGCTTGAATTAATTGTTCTTACCACGTGCGTTTGGAGGACCAATGAGTTGTCTTTGTTCACCTCAAACCTATGTTGGGTAAGTTCTTTCTTTCCCTCGTCAAAAGCTTTGAATGTTATCGACATTTTGCTGTTTCCAGTAATTGAAAATTTCTTAGAGAATTTAATAAGTGCCTCAAGACCTACTACAGTGTTTTGAGTAGAGTCGAAACCACCATTACTGTTACGTTGACCGATTAACCACTTGATAATTGGTAAAATTTGGTTAATGGGTTCCGTGTCAACCAAAGTTTGTAACGCATAGGCAGTGATTTCAATATCATTGTGGTTCGCACTAGTCCACCATTTGAAACCGTTTTCTTCCTTGGCTTCTGCCTGTAGCTTTTCCAGCACTCTATCCGCAGCCGTATGATTGGCTTTATGCAAAGCAACTGCAGCTATAGATAGAGCGTAAGAATTCTTTTCATTCTCCAGTTGGCTTACTACGTATTCGAGACATTTTTCAATCTGCTTTTGATAAAGCTCCGCGTATTTCTATTGAGAATAAAAATTTTAATTTAGTTTTGCTTTGGGTAGGTATTCGTAAACATACTTCATTTTCTAGGAAGGCCAACAGCACATAAGCATTGAATCCAACGTCATTCTGATGAGTTGGACTGAAGAGATGACCAGTTTGCTTAAATTGGCCGCTTTTCTCCTGGTTAGCAATTAGGAAGTCGAAAGCTTGTTGGATAACTTTTTCATCAATGGTCGTGTATTTAGTTGCCTGGATAAAGGAACGAGCCACATAAGCGGTTAACCAAGTATTCGGCGTGCTTCTATCTTCGCCAAAAGCGCTATATGCACCGCTTCTGTGTTTATAGGTCAACTCACGTTGATAACCAATTTCTAAGAAGTTTTTAGCTTTGCTCGCTACATTTGGCATATCAATCTGCAAGGCTTCCAAGTAATGTAAGACCAATATGTTGGGCACGAAGTTAACCATATTCTGCTCACCACAACCGTAGGGCTTACGTACAAGCTCGTTAAGTCTGTTCATAGTAGGACCCAAGAGATCACCAACAACAGAGAATTCCACATATTCAGAATCTTTAACAGCCTCCGGGGGTATATCGACTTCTAGGGAAGCTTTGTGTGGCTCCTCCAAATTTAAGAAAAGGGCTTGATTTTCGTATTGGGTGACACCCTCAGCTTCTACTTTCAGTTTTTTATGTATAGCGTCCCCTGCCAACTGAGATGCAGCGCTAATTTTCAATTCTATATCTGCTACTACGGCTGGACGTATCATAAAGGATACGCTTTCTCCGCTATTCGGAGGTACCGATACCCGTTTCATTCTCTTTTGCGTGCTCAAAATGGATTCTTCAATTTCATTGGACACTTCGGTGAAATCGTACTCCTTGTCGGTATTGTCCATAGTGATTTCTGCATCCAATGTTTTATCCATGTAGTTGAAAATAATAACTGGTATCGCAATAACTTCGCCCCTTTTTACAGAATATGGCAAATTTACATCGATGAAGAATGGTTGAAATACATTAATTTTGAACGGTTTCTCGGTCATACCTAAACCAGTTTTCTCGTTCACTGCAAAAGCGGTAATTACCCAAGAAGTTATTGTATCTGGTATGGATTTTGTGACTGTTGCACTGGTCATATTATCGTTACTGGGAAAAAGAATAGAAATGGCATTTACAAAAATCTGAGCAAAATCAAATATAAGCTGAAGAATCGAAGTGAAGTTCTATACCAACAAATACATTATTTAGTAATCGATCGTTAGTAGTTACGAAAGGCATGCCATATGGTATTTAGTATAAAGCATTTAAGGTATATAAAATTGTTCATGAAACTAACTTTTTGACTTTTAATATAAAAGGTCTTGTGTATTCTAGCGCAGTCCTCTGCGTTCGTTTGGCAATATTCCGAAAAGGTTTGTTTGAGAGAACCCGACTAAAAGAAGTTTCTAGACGTAACATCTAGTGCGACAAGGAGCTAGGGAATTGTTTTTATGAACTTTCGAAATACGAACAAACGTATCGCGTCGTGTATGTAAAGGTATAAATATATGTAGATGAAAACCAATTTACGCAATGGAGACAAGTACATAAGTGCATAATGCATTTTTTTTACTTAATTGAATTGGCGTTGTTCGCACTTATATTTAAATCATATATAAATACATTATTTATCACATCCTCAATATTATGAACCGATAACCATTTATACCTATCAACCTACCCAACCCTCTTCTTGTCTCTAAGCAGGCGAGAGTAGAAGTAAAAAGCTGAAACCAGTCACAATCCAAGACCATTTCCACTCATAATAATGCAGTGAATGCGTGCTTCGTTATTAATTAACAACAACAATTAAGTGAATTAGTTCGCTTTTTCCCTTGCAAGTTCACGTCTTTGCGAACTGAAAAGACTATATTTTATACTATAAGTATAAAAAAAAAATTTTTTATAGACAAATATAGTACACATTTTGCTCTCTCTTAAAGCGTTGTTTAATACACTTTGTACTACATACCCTCCCGGCCCTTATACACGCACACTCTCACTTACGTTATTTGTTTTATAGTTCATTATTCTTACCCAAGACATAAAGTTCTTTCTTTATGACCAGTTTTGCATGTCAGTAATGTGGACTGTTTTTAGAAGACTATTAATTAGTAGTAAATTTACCACCGAATCCGACCATCTTAACCGAATCGACGCAAGTTTATGTATAATCATTTCTTGTGATAAAATTATGCAGTGCGCTTATAATACGTGGGCATATTCGCATACTTGATTTTGATTTCTGAGAAGGTATTTTTTAATCTTTCTCTAAAGTAACGGAAGAAATGAAGAGACATGCATTTGACGTCGTTAAGTGCGCAAGACACTTGGCTTTAAAAATTCGCGAAATGTATCAAGATTATTAATATCTCTAATTGCATACCCTACCGAGTTGCTGAGGTTTTAGGAATTGTTTTGAAAAACCAATGGATTAACAATATACGTGAAGTTCATCCTCCATAATCCTCCATTCCTTTTCAACACTACTGACACATAGTGAAGATGAGAATGAGACATTGACGAGTAATTGCGTAAAAGTCCGGCAAAGTCAATAAAAATAATTTCAATATCCCGTCGGTTACCCATACATGCTAATGTTATGAGCATGAAGTAAATTTACTTAAATTCTCTTTCGGAAATGAACAAATGGATGAAATTTTTTGAAACATACAACATCAGATGCCAAATTAGTTGCAAATCGGTTCAAGGTTTGCAATAGCCTCGTTTAGCAATCGTTCAGTGGTGTAAATTGAAAACAATATTGTGTAGAAGAAAACACATACTTTTCTAAATAATCAAATAACCACACATCACTAAAGTCTTGTCGAACTTTAATCTGCTCTGTGGCAAAATCGTCCAAGTCATCGGGTGTGATCGTTAAAAACTGTAACTCATTGCCGTCCAGATTCTCAAAAAGAAAGGCAGGCGTGGCGTCGTAAATTATTCCCATCACTAGAAAATATTATTATTATTATATACAATATTAGAAAGTTAATTAGGAAAACATTGTTATTAGAGTTAACTCAAAAGCTGGGTATTAATTAGTATGCATTAGTATGCAAGATGGATTAAGTAGTTGTAAGTGCAGTCGAATGAATGCAAAACGAACCTAAAATTCAAAGCAGACCATAACCAAATTTCTCGAAAATTTATACGTATATTTACGTTGGACGCTGCCTGAGGAACAAACTCGCATTTAACGCAGCTGCTATCGACTTCATCTACGCCTTCGGCATCATCGTCTTCACTTTCACTTAGTTCTTCTTCTAATTCATAATGTGAATCCCCTTTTCTAAGACGGGCTGTAAAATGATTTATATAAATCAAAATCTGCTAAAAACTATTTATCCCTACATTCTAGACAGCATCTTCTCAGCATTTCAATATCGCTGCACTCTTTTCTTTTTGTTTATAGGGAATAAATACAAAAATATATATTGTCGTACTTCCTACTCCTACCCGTGATTTTATATTTTGCAAAAAGAGAAGAATTTATATTTGAAGATAATCCAAGAATCGATCTACATGTTGACGTTCTCGAGAGCATCGGTCAGCCAGAATATTGTGCAGAACTGTGAACATCTGAAAAGTACGCTGGATGTACTAGAATGTCACATTTAACGACTTGAAGTGTTTCGTTGACTTTTCCCAGCATCGTTTTCAATTTCCACTCAATTGCAAAGGTTGCAAATGGCTCTCTTCGCCTTTTTTTCGTAACTTAGTGCACCGGTCTGAGAGGAATTATTGTCAGATCTTCTTAAAATGTTTGGATTTACATACCCACCAACAAAAACAAGCTAACTAATTCAAACATCCAATATTAAAATGGAAATAGGCCTCAAGTAATTAGAAAACAGAAAGTCTTATTATAACCTACACCACTTGTAGTAGAAAGGTATGTGAAGTTTGTACGGGTGTATGCAACATCCAGAAGGACTTAAGATAGACCCAGTTTTTATTACACGGGTTGACTCGATTTAAATTTGTCTGCTCATCTGTCTGTCTTGTTTTTTTTGTGTTCATCCTAGCGGCCGCAACTTTTAACATATTTTGATGAAATTTGGTAAGCTGAGGTATTTAGGCCAAAGGATGAGTGCTATTGAAAACAGTTAGGATCGGAACACTTTTCGACAACTTTCCATAAAATCCCTTATCTCAAACGGGCGTAAAATAAATAATTGTACGATTGAGCACCGCGTTTAGTACGTTCGCGGACGTGTATGCTATAGCATACATTTTCATTGTGATGCAAAATGACATGAATAAAGTTGCAATTTTAAAATCCATTTTTTTTTATTTAATTTTATGTAATCCTAAGGTTCTTTTATTTATGTTGCTTCCGTCTCTGTATATTTATAAATTTACTTAGAGCATCTTTAAATTTTTAACATACACTGGAAAGAGACCAAATTCTCTCATTGTGCCGTTCTCTCGTGTTTTCTCTTATATGAATGCTACACCATTCACATCATCCCAGTTGAAAAAGGTCTTTTATATTATCGTGAATCCTATCGTATTCGTTGCTAATATTGATTGAAATCTGATCTTGTAACTACCAATAAAAAATATATTCCATCAAATCTATCCTATGGCTACTCTTGTGGTAAAGGGTATAATAGTTAGTGCGGTCGTATGTAACACGCAGAAGAGCTTAAAATAGACCCACCTTTTAGAATACCGATAGATTCAGAATCATAATCTGAATTGATCTAAGCCTATCTGACCGTGTGTCCGCCTATTGTCTGTCCATGTAAATTTGTGTTCAAGTTGCAGCGCTCAATTTTTTAGATATTTCGATGAAATTTATTACATTGACACGCTTCGACTCAAGGACGAACGCTGTTGAAAATGGTTCGGATCGTCCAACTTTTTCGACACCTCCCCATATAACGCCCTATTCTGAGAAGTCGGTATAAGAAAACAATTTTCAAAATTTCTAAGCAAAAGTGCCTAAGTAGTAGTAGTAGTTGCTTATTCTAAAGTGGTATGGAAACTTTGCGTCGGCTGGGACAAGGTTTGAACCCCCATATAACGAAAATTAAAGTTCAGACATCATAATAGTAATTTATTATAAAGAATTTAAATGTACCGAATTTAGACCTTCTCAGCCTATCTTTTGGAGGATTTTCACGAAAATTGATCCTTTGTAAAGTAAAAGGGTCTAAGTTTTAAGAAGTGGTGATGGAATTTGACTCATAATATTATAGCAATCTCATACAAAATTAGGCTCCAAAAAATTTGGACCATCTACAACTATTTTTGGATCCTGCCCTATGTAAGGATTAAACTTATACTACAATAGGTTGAGTTTTGGGCACGCTTCCCCATTAATACGCATATGAAAAATTTGCCTTTATATAGCAACAAGATATAATTTTTGTGTTCCAAAGTAAAAATAAGAATTGTGTTAGACAACGTGGTATAGGTTATTTAAGGGTCGGCATTGCCCGACCATCATGTTCTTAATTGTTTTAAAATAAAGTGACTGTCATTTTGTGCACGTCACTGAAATTTTCACTACCCGCGAACATGTTAACGGCCCACTATAATGTTTTTACTTTAATTTAACTTAATTAACTTCTCTATACAATAAGTAATCCAGCATCGATCGAGCAAGAACAATTGATTCTATGTTTGAATATGTTGTGGAGTCAAAATTAATAATTCGTTTGTATGCAACTTACATTCATATGGAAAGTGGGCATTCGTCATGACCACTAAGCCAGACCTCTCACCCGGGTATGTGTAAATACTGTTTTGATAATGTTTGTCTACAGGTTTGAGGCTATGCAAATTTTTTAGAACTGCATCGAATTCAAGATCATTGCCAGATTTCAGAAGCAACATACTTTGATCTACTCCCAATAAACCGATATAAGAGTTCGGATCAGCTTTAATTTCCAAAGAAACGTCCTGACCAGGCTTTGCTTGTAAGGGGCCCGTTATTTTAACCTGCAACAATTTTTAAATATTGTTGACATGAAAAAATTTTAAAACAACACTTAAACTTACTTTGTTTTCAAACTCCGACAGAAATTCGAGTGTGATCTCCTGAAATTTCAAATCGAATTCATCCACATAATAAACAAATACGTTAGCTCTTGGCATCATTTCGAATGTAGCTCGAAAAGTAATTTTATAAAATTGTTGAGGCCTCGGCAAAGAAATGTTAGCTATTTGCAATATGGCACCACGGCCTACAACAGCATATATCAAATGTTTCATAACATTGGGCGCCTTAACAGCTATCGACACGTATTCATCTAAACGGGGCCTAGGAGGACGGGTAAGTAAACAAAGGGTTTATTTTTGTTTTTATTTGTAAACTTACTTTATAGTCTCCAACTCAAGGGTTAACTGGGATACCAACTTAGTATTTTTTACACTAGCTGCCCTTACGCTAATACTTGGCATATGCTTGATTTCCTCAGCAAATATAAGTTCAGGCCAATAAAACCCATCGTTTTGAAAGCTAGTTTTAAATATGGCCACACCATGTTCGTCTAAATTTGCCTTCCAAATTTTGGGATCTTCACCTGCTCTCCTTGTATTGTAAAATTTGAGAAGAACAGGAGCTTTGGTGTCCTGGACTGGTTTGCCATTTAAATATTTAATAACTACTTTCACTTCAATCGTTTGATTAATTTCAAATTCCCTCATCATATCGGAAACTTCAATTCTATATGGAGAGCGATGAAGATTTATTTTGACTGTAGTATTTTGCCTATTTCCAGTTAGCTCTTCTTCCACCACTGCGAATACATTCAGTTCTCCAACGAATCGGTTCGGAACAATTAAATTTAAATCTTTTTTTAAATCAAATTCCACATGACCTTTGCCATTGACGTCTATAGTTTTCTCCAAATCTACGGGCGATAAATGAACAGTAGCCTTACCCTTGACTGATTTGCCATAAGTGTATTTTGCACGTACGGTTATTTTTAAAGAGCTTTCAGTTATGGCCATATCCGTAACAGCATCAATATCCACGCTGAATTTGGGCAACACATACTTTGCCACTTCAAATTCCTTCGTTTTTTCTATATGATCGCTTAAACTAACTTCAATTGTCCACAAACCCAAAACGGGCTGTTCGGTAAGTTGTAATTTATCACTAAAAACGCCTTTAATTAGTTGAGCATTTTTAATAACTTTTATGAGGTTATTTGCTGCATCTTTAATGGCAACTGCTAAAGGTTGGTCCGATTTGAGCGGTCGAAGATTTTCATCCAAAACTAGAATGCGATATTGCACTAAATCTCCCGGCTTATACATGGCTTTATCCGTTTGTATGTAAAGATTGGGTATGATGTATTCCACGGATAAGTATGTAGTGTTTTCAAAGAATAACCCTCTGATACCTTTGGAGACAAGTTGATATATGCCTTTCTTTAATTCAGGGACATTGAAATCAATTCTCTTATTTTCGTTTGGAGACAATTCAATACATTTTGAATGATTATACGATGGGCCAGAAATGCCTATGTTAAAAGTAGCAGATTGCCTAGCATCGTGTAAAGTAACACTAATGGAATATTTGCGATTTGAATATATACTGCCGGAGGCCACTATAGAGTAAATTCTGAAAAAAAAGATTGGAATTAAAAAATAAAAAGTCAATGTAAACTAAAGAGAAAGACATGCACATGATGCATCCACAACTGACTTTCAGGTAATTTTAAGTGTAGCTGTAAAATGCCGCCAATACGACCACTGATCGATCCGCATTTAACAAAGTATATGTGGAGGATTTTTCCAAGTCAACTCGTATAAGACGTTACCTTTTGTAGTCATCCTCTTAGACGAAGGCACGCTTATACTAAAACAGCTGGTAGGTTAAACTTCAAATATAATAAGTGTAGTAACTATCTAAAGACAAATACAAAATCTCATCAAAGCAGAGGTATATATTGTACTTCCTAGATAACGCAGCAACAATGAACAATAAAGAAAAACCCGTAATTCACTATCAACAAATTGCAGAGAATCATGGTGAAGAAGAAATGCAAGCACACTTACCCATTTGCGTTCACAACCCATAGCATATGCAAAAGAATATACATTCGATTTTGCCACATTTTGTTTTAGTTTAGCACTTTTATTTATACAATTTTTATTTTTTATTTATTTTCATAAGATCGCGGTCGCACACTTAACTTTAAATTATTTCTACACAGAGTAGCAGTGCATCGTAAACTAATTTAGTTTCTTCAATGCTCAGCTTAATATCGTCTTCCATTATGTTTTAATTGTAGAACTTTTCTCTTTAATTCTATCTCTTTGCCTAGTTATCTCTTGTCTTAAGATTCTCTTTATAATTCATAGTGCAAATACAGATAAGATAACCGATGATCGATCTCGTTTTTTATTGGGATTTAGAAATAGTTCGGGAAAACGTATTAATTTACTATTTATAACACGTAAACACACTATAGAGGGACTCGCTTTACCACTAAATACCATGCACTACCATGCACTTCGGTTAATACAGTCATTCAGATGACGAGCTTTTCAACATAAGCCTTTGTATTGGAAGAAAGAGGTCGAAGAAGTTGTCCGATTGTCATTCCCATGATTCTAAATCGCTTTCAAACGCGTTCGTCTTTGGGCGAAAACATTTCGGTGTACAGAAATTCATCAAAATATTTCGAAAATTGCGACCTGTATGTCGAACACAAGAAAGCAACACCGACAGATGGATGGAGAGACAAGAGTAAATCGATTCAGACGCACTTTCTGAATAAAATGTGGTTCTATGCCAATTCCTTCTACATGTTGCATACATCCTCACACAAGTGTATCACAAGTGATGTAGGATAAAAAAACTCTTCACAGCAAATAACTTCTTAATGAATGAAACAAAACCGCCCTAAGCCCGGAACAATAGTTTGAACTGATTTTTCGCGTGTGTACATACGAATGGACACTAATGTGCATGTCTTATTAGGGCGTAGAATTATGCTTCCCTTGGTTTCTCTATGATGTGCACTCTGCTTCATCCGCGTCGTAAGGCGCAAAATCATTTCTGCTGTGTTCGCAGATCGCCATTTTGAAGATATTTTAAGGCAATTTGATACATTGGAGTCTTTCAGCCCAAGAGCGAACCATAAGTGCAGTTTCAATCAATCCATTTTTACAGACCACTCTCATCATAACGCCCTATTTTGAAAAAGTTGTGGGTTGAAAAGGATTTTCAAATTTTGTGATAAAAATCCCTGCGATATAGTTTGTTGGTATACTGAGTTGGTAGGAACAATCAATAAACAATCGATAATTTTTAGAATCCCATCCCAACCTGGCTAGAAGGTGCAATTTTCATTTCAATTGATCCGTAATAGTAATTTGATATAAAAATTCACTTGCTACGTTTTCGATCTACAGATCAATTTTTCAAAATCTTTTTAAGGTTTCTTTTTCACGAAAACAAAACCTTCATATTGTCACAAGGTACAGGTCTTAACATTTCGCGAGAAAAACAAATGAAAAACTGTGTTACGTAAGTTTCTAAATGGTAATCAATGGGCAGCCGAAATTTAATATTTAGTATTTAACAGATTGCTTGACTACAACGTTTTGATAAAAAAAATTTTACCAGATATATTCTAGTATAGTGTGGTTTATCATTAACTACTACTTTCCTATCTTTCCTACTAAATATCAATGCTGTGCCGAAAGAACAACTTATCTTTCGATCGTATCCAAGAATTCACTTATTTTTTATGTATCATCTCGACAATTACATGCACAATAAATTATCGATGAAAACTGGCTAGATAGTTTCTGGATGCGGAAAATGATGATATCTTGATCATTTGCATATTGCTCTGCCTCTGCCCCAGTGAATGTTTCGTTTATCTGAAGCAATTCATAATGAAGCACACCACAGTTTTGTCGTCAATATAATGCATTCTTCTTTGAACATCAGGTGCAATCTAAACATCTAAATATTAATTATTTAAAGTAATTTACGGTAGCTTTAACAGTACTTTGTATCTGCAGTTTAACCGATTTTCAAAAAGTATTCGTGCACAGAACCGGTACCTACCATTCACAAACTTTAAAATATTTTCAAAGCATAGTTGTTTTCTTCTTCGTTTTAATTTCTTTTTCTTCTTCGTTTTAGTTCGCACGACCCTTACTCACGTTGGTTTGTAAGAGGCGTGTAATTCAAAACAAATCTTCGCTAGTGTCACGTGCTAATATTCTAACAACTTTGAACGTTTAGTTCGCGTGAATCTTTAGCTAGAATGGATCAATGTGTAAATTATCTTTGAGATCGATAACGGAAATTTTCTCCCATTGCCACCTGCAATTTTATAAGGTTTGATAGCACTCTTCTTAGCTGAAGCTGTTCGTTCAACACCACTTCGTGGAGGCATCGTACAAATCTTTCGAAACAAAGGCATTTTCAACAGCATTCGCCATTAGCTTGCAGCTGACACAGAACAGTGTGCGCACAGTTATTAACCGGGAAACAGGCTCCAATTGAATTTAACCCATATCTTCTTATCATAAATGTTGTAGGGTATAATTAGCAATTTAAAAGCTTTGATAAATGCTGTCTTAACAGTTGATTAGAAGACAAAGCAAACTCTCGTAAGCGAATCACTATAGAAGGTTTCACAAATGCTGTCTTAACAGCTAGTGAGAGAGCAAAGCAAAAAGTGCTTTGTGTTACTTTGGTGTTCTAAAAATTCATCGCATTTAACGCTAAACATAATGAATTTGATATCATCCGAATATTTATTCTTCTTTTCTTAAATGAATCTTTTCTGATAATATTTATGAAATTATATTGTGTTTCCTTCTTTATTTGTTTATATTTTTGAACCGTACATAAATCATTTCTTCTTAACTTTCTTCACAAATATCAAGCGACGGAGATTTGATTTGATAATATTCGGTTGCACGATATTCACTATTATAATAGTCGTATAAAGTGATGGGAACCGGCTTCTGTTTGTCTACAGCAAAAGCTCTATCTGCTATAATATTCAAACGCTTCTTTTCCCCTTCTACTAAGCCGTTGAAATATACAATAACCTTTGTATCACAGTTCTCGGTGTCCACCCGCTGAACACGCTCAACAGCAAGTATATCATCAAATTTCTCATTGTCAGCAATATAACCGGACGGTAGAGAAACTTCCATGACAGCCATATTGGATTCCAAGATCATATCACTAACATGAGGTTCATAGCTAGCGCATACTTCAATCTGCAATTGTTGCGACGGTAAAATTTTTGGTTTAATATCGAGTTTAAAACTGGGCTTATCATCTTTAGTTGCCAAGTTGTATTGATACGAAAGTTGAATTAACGAAGAACCAGC